TTGCAATGTGGAGCACTCCATTGGTTAGAAGAAAGGTAGCTGATAGTATACTTACACAAACTTTTAGTATCTATTGTACCAATAGAAAAATAAAATTGCTACCTATTAATCAACCACCAGAATCTCTGCTTTCATTGCTTATTGAAGAAGATAGCAGATCTCATATATTTCGAAAAAATATTCGTAATTATAATTCATTGTTAGTATTTACATCAATGGGTGCCAAACTTGATCAAAATATAGTTAGTACACAGGAATTTATAGTTTTTGAATTCATGGTGAAATGTATCATCAGATAGATTCACTTTTACCAGATAATAATATCGCACCTGCTTTTTCTCAAATTTATATTTGTGATACTAAAGAACAATTAACTTACAGACAATGTTTAATACCTAATCTAGATCATTCAATTCTTAAACAGCTTCAGGAAATGCTACATAATATTAATCTATATGTTCATATTTTTTGACAAATTGTGTATATTCTAAGTAAAAATCCTGTTCCAAATCTAAAGTTGGTTATTATTAAAGCACATAATAAACAAAAATATTCAATTTCTGCTGCTTCAGAAATAGCTATTCTTATGATAGGTGATGGTCAAGAAGCTGAACCATCAAATAGAGATATTGTACTTTATAGACAGAATAGTAGTTTGCAGTGAATTTTACAAATACATCCTTCTTATATTCCATTACATTATATATTACTTTTTCCATATGGAGATTCAGATTAGCATCCTAATATTCTCACAAATAATACAGTTTGTCAAGTAAATATCAATTCAAATACAGAAGATCATTATGTTACGATAATGCAATATTATGCTTATCATTTGCAATTATAACAGTATAGTCTAACAGAATTATTTGCATTACATAGAAGTAGGCATCTGTTTCAACAATATATAGTTGATGTATATGCATATATTAAACAAAATCATCTTAATTAATTAAAGTATAATCAAAAAAAAATACGTGCTGAGTTATATAGTAGGCTACAGGATGCACTTTCTGTTTATGATGAAATATTCCAATCTGGATCTCAAATTGGTCATTGAATTGTACTTTCTTCTAGTTTTGTTGGTGGTTCTTGCTATATGCAACAATTATATCAAGATGCAATGGCTATTGTTAGACAAATGGGCAAGCCAGATTTATTTATTACAATAACATGCAATTCAAATTGGCCAGAAATTTAATTATCTTTATTATCAGAACAAACTTCTCAAGATTGACTAGATATTTGTGCTCACATATTTCGATTAAAATTAAAAGCTCTTCTTAAAGACATTATTAAAAATAGTATTTTTGGTAAAACTCCTGCTTATATTTATGTTATTGAATCACAAAAATGTGGTTTTTTGTATGCATATATATTGATTATATTATTACCTGATTGCAAACCACGTATAACAGAAGATTATGATCATATTATATCAGCAAAAATTCCAGATCCTTATAATCTTCCACATGAATATGCAACTATAATACAATATATGATGCATAGACCATGTAGAAATTATAATATGCATGCATCTTGCATGCAAGATGGCAAATATTTAAAAGGTTATCCAAAGCCTTTTCAAGCAGTAACCAGTCAAAATGAAGATGGTTATCCTATATATCAATGATATCAAAATGGTTGGACTGTTAAAGTTAAAGGAGTTGATCTTAATAATTGATGGGTCATATCTCATAATTTATATTTCTGTCATATTAATATTGAAATTTGTTCTTCAATATATACTATCAAATATTTATTTAAATATATATACAAGAGTCATGATTATACAACAATAGCACTTAATAATAATAATACTGTAGATAAGATTCGTCAATATATTGATACATGTTATGTATCAGCATATGAGTCTATTTGACATATTATACATTATAAAATACATGATGAAAGCTCCTAATGTTATATGTTTAGTTGTTCATCTTCCTGGTTAACATTTGTTACTTTTACAGATAATGAATCTTTGGTTAATATTGCTTAATGGGTACAAAATCAAAAATCTACTTTAACAGCATGGTTTGATGCTAATTGTGATCAAAATATTTGCAAAATAGCAAAAAGCTTAACTTATACTCAATTTCCTCACAAGTTTGTTTTTAATAATCATACAAAAAAATGGAATCAACATATTAGTGGGCATACAATTAGTCGAATGTATTTTGTACATCTAGGTGCAGGTAAATAATACTATCTGCGTATGTTACTTAATGTTGTATGTGGTGCACAATCTTTTGAGCATTTATATACTGTTAATAATATTCTTTATCCAACTTTCAAAGATGTATATCAAGCATTAGGTCTTTTACAAAATGATTTAGAATGGGATCAATGTTTAAAAGAAGTATCAGAAATAAAATTAGGTTCTCAGTTAAGACAATTGTTTGCAACAATTTTGTTAAATTGTTATCTAACACATCCTGAACAACTTTGGATTAAATATAAGCATAATTTAAGTAATGATATTTTGTATAAATTGTGTTGTATATTATGTAATCAAAATTTTTAATTAACACAACAAGAAATTGAATTATGTGCTTTGCATAAATTAGAAGATATTCTTATGCAACAAGGCAAATCATTAAAAGATTTTTCTAATATGCCAATTCCTACTACAGTATGTTATTTTGCTAATCATTTGCTTAATGAAGAATTAAATTATAATTAAGCTATACTTCGCAATTTTTTTGATCAAAATCTTTCATGTCTTAATAAAGACCAACAAAATATATATAATGAAGTAATAGAAGCAATTGAACAAAATACTTCTGTATATATCTTTGTTGATGGACCTGCTGGTTCTGGAAAAACATTTCTTTATAAAACTTTGTTAGCTAAAATCTGTTCTGAAAAAAAAATTGCTCTTGCTGTTACTTCATCTGAAATTGCCTCATTGTTACTTGATGGTGGCAGAACAGCATATTCTTGCTTTAAAATTTCTATTCAATTAAATGAAGATTCAACCTGTAATATATTTTGTATACAGATTTAGCTAATCTTTTAAAACAGACTGTTTTAATAATTTGGGATGAGGTACCTATATTACATCATCATGGGTTTGAAGCTGTTGATCTAATATTTTGTAATATAATATGTACAGTTAATCCAAGATTAGAGTATATACCTTTTGGTAGAAAAACTATTATCTTTGGTGGTACTTTTAGACAAATTCTTCTAATTGTTCCAAAAGATAGAAGAGAAGATATTATTAATGCCTGTTTATGTTAATCTTATTTGTGGCCATATATAAAAATAAGAAAACTAACAATTAATATGTGATTATATATGTTATCTGATATTTTAGACGCAGCAGCTCAATCAGAATTTGCTAATTGGTTACTTCAGGTTGGTGAAAGGCTTATTCCTGAAGTTCAACCTGATAGTAGTTTTATACGTTTACCCTCTGATATTATTATCAAATCAGAAAATATTCAAGATTTAATAGAATTTGTATATCCTAATTTACAAGCCAATATTTGTAATTCTACATATTTTACTGAAGGAGGCATTCTTGCATCACTTAATGATGATGTTGATATGCTTAATATTAAAATTCTTTCACAATTTTCTGAAAATAAAAAGACTTACTATAGCACAAATACATTGGATAAAAATTCTAAAATATATAATATAGTATATGAAAGTTTATATTCTACAAAATTTTTAAATTCATTAAATGTTAGTGGATTACCTTCACATAAATTAATACTTAAAGTTAATGCTCCTATAATATTATTGCATAATATTAATATAGCTAATGGTTTATGTAATAGAACTCAGTTAATTTGTAAAACTCTTCAGGATTATGTTATTGAAGCAGAACCTATCAATGGTCTTTTAACTAGTAAACATGTATTTTTACCCTGTATTTCTTTGTTTTCTACAAATACATCTCTTTCAATTGTACTTCAGCGCAGGCAATTTCTATGTAAACTTGTATTTGTTATGTCTATCAATAAATCTCAAGAACAAACAATAAATCGTGTTGGTTTGTATCTTTTATCTTCTGTCTTTTCTCATGGACAGTTATATGTTGCATGTTCGAGAGTAACTTCTCACCAGAGATTACAAATATATTTTAGTAAACCTGAAATTGATAGATATACAAAAAATATTGTTTATTCTGAAATATTTCAATAATAGTTTATATTTTATATCAGCATTGTTTGTTAGTTAATTTAATTATTCTTTAATTAGATATTCTATAAAATATATAAACAAACTTTGTAAACTCTGTAACCCTTCTAATAAAAATTAATGATTATCAAAGCTTATTTTTTATATTGCTTATTTTTTTTGTAGACTATTTTTTTAATTTTTACTAAATAACCAGTTTCTAATTAATTTTTAATATAATTAACTATCAAACTTATTATAATTTTATATTTATTATAAAGTTTGTATTTATTATAAAGTTTGTATTTAATATTATAAAATTTACTAAAATCTTTATATTCTATTTGTATTTGTATAATACTATACAGCAAAAAATCTAATATTTATATACTCAAAATTGAGAACTGATATAAGTCTAAAGCATTAATACTATTAATATTATTTTTGATTATATTATTAATTAATTGTTGTTTTCAAAATAGTTTTGTAATTATGCATTATACAAAAAAAACAGACAAAAATTTCAAAGTTATATTATTAATAAATTAATTATAATAATTATATTAATGCATCAAAAAGAAAATATTTAATAGTTAAAATATATCAAAAATATAACTTTTATACAACTTAATATATAAAATTTAAGTGTTAGTTGCTATACTTTAAGCAACAAAATATAAAATTCATTATAATTCAAACTCTATTAACTTTAAAAAAATTTGTTTTACAAATTTGCTGCTTTTAGTCTAAGCTATATTTTTGTAAAAATTTATTTTTATTATCTTATAAGATTAAAAAGTTATTATAATTTAAAGTTTATATATAATTAAAAATTTGGCAATTACTATATAAAAAAGCTATTTGTATATATTTTTAACTAATTAAAATTAATTATATACAAATTATCTAATTAAAATTAATTATATAACTCTCAAAACTAATATGTTTAAAAAAATTATATGTTTTGGCTATTTGATACTATATAATAGAATATTTAAACTTTTAAAATCACTTTATTTATATCTATAAACTTATATATAAAAAATAAAAATTTCTATTTATACCTAGTGGGTATGATATCCAATATAAGAAAAAAATCAAAAATTATTAATATCTCAAAATTTTATTAAGAAAACCATATATAGATATGTTAGATAAAATTGCTTTGCATCTAATTTTATATATAACTACACATATTTTAAAGTCTAACCCTAACTTTAATATATATATAGTGCACTATATAAATATTATTCCAGAGTACAAGTATTAAATTTCTAAAAAAAATTATCTAATATTTAAATAATTTTAATAAAATAGCTTATCAAAATAAAAAAAACTTTAAATAATAACTATTTGGTTTAATTTAAAATCTTATAAATTATATAATAATTGTGGCAAATTAAAATAAAATCAGATTAAAATAAAATAAGTGATAGTATAAAATAGACAATCCACCAAATAAACAAATTTTTGGTTGCATTTTTTTAGTATTTTTTAGAATTAAGATTAGGATTTAGAAGCAGATTTATAATAAACAAGTATAAGTAGATTTTAGAGAGTCAAATAAAAACCTCTTATTTTATTTTAATCTACTTTTATTGTGATTTGTAACAATAATTAGTATAACTTAGTATATATAATAATACAGTCAGACCTCCTAAATGCAATCTCCATAAATACAATACCTCCCTAAATGCACGTTTTTGTTTTGGCTATATAAAATCATTAGTGCTAAATGCACATTCTATATTTTGCAAATGCACTTTACTCAAAAGATTTTTTATATCATACTAACCTCCCTAAGTGCACGTAGCCAATCAGAAGTTAGTATTTAAGTTTG